ACTGTGATGTGCAAAGGCTTTACCACATTGATTACATACATAGGGTTTCTCTCCAGTATGAGTTCTTTTGTGTTTCTGGAGATATCTGGGATGTGCAAAGGCTTTACCACATTGGTTACATTCATAGGGTTTCTCTCCAGTATGAACTATTCCATGTTTTTTAAGACTACTGCTATATGCAAAGGCTTTACCACATTGATTACATTCATAGGGTTTCTCTCCAGTATGGATTCTTCCATGAACTTGAAGGTGAATTTGTTGTGCAAAAGCTTTACCACACTGATTACATTCATAGGGTTTCTTCCCAGTATGTGTCCCTTTATGTTTTTTAAGATAACTGTGATGTGCAAAGGCTTTACCACATTGATTACATTCATAGGGTTTCTCTCCAGTATGAGTTTTTTCATGTTTCTGGAGATAACTGGAATGTGCAAAGGATTTACCACATTGGTTACATTCATAGGGTTTCTCTCCAGTATGTGTTCGTTCATGTAGTTGGAAATTACTACGTTTTGAAAACACTTTATCACATTGATTGCACGTGTAGGGTTTCTGTACAATATATGCTCTTTTATATTTTTGGAGATAACTCTGATGTGCAGAGTCTGTACCACTTTGCTCAGATTCATAGGTTGTATCTCTAGTATGATCTTTTTCATGTTTTTGAAGACTGCTGCAACAGGAAAAGGCTTTACAACAGTGTCTACATTCATAGAATTTCTGTCCATGATATGTCCTTTTATGTATTTGGAGATGACTCTGTTGTGAAAAGGCTTTACTACATTCATTACATTCATATAGTCTCTCTTCAATATGGTTTTTTTCATGATTTTGAAGAGTACTGTGATCATTACACTGATTATATTCACAGGATTCCTCTCCAGCACAAATTCTTTCATGACTTTGAAGATAACTGTGACATGCCAAAGCTTTGCCACATTGAGTATATTCACAGAGTTTATCTTCAGGATGACTTCTTTCTTGCCTGAAAAGATAAATGATATGTGTAAATATTTTACCACATTAATTACAGTGACGAATCATTTTATCTCTATGATTTAATTTTACAATTTAGTCTAATTACAGAAAGGAATCAGATCTTAAACTTCTATCACATTGTTTACAGTCATAGGGTTCTCTTCATTATGTGTTCTTTATGAGTTTGAAGATACCTGGGATGGTTAGAGTCTGTAGTACACGGTTCACACTTATAGTAACCATCTTTTTTCCATGTTAGTGCTTTCCTATCTTTGAAGACAAATGGATGGACTCAGATTTACCACAGTCACTGCATTCATAACATTTTTCTATACTGAGAGTCAAACTACATTTGCAAAGTGAACCAAGACAAATAAAAGAATTTCGATACTCCTTTTCCTCACGGGGCTTTTATGCACTGTGAGTTTGAGAAGGAATTCTCAATGAAGTTGGAAGCACCATTAACTGTAAACTTACATCACATTCACAAAGCCGACTCAAAGTGGGACTACTAAATACCTTCTAATTCTTCTGGGAGAAAAAGGGGCACATTGCTTCTTTCCATGCCCATTATGCCTCCATGGCTTGTATCTAATGCAATATGATATGTGTATTAAAGCAAGACTAACAAAAGCCTTCTACATTGAATTCATATAAGTTTAAATTTACTGCTTATCATAATGATGTAATATAAGGATGGGGTTTTCTCCAAACAACTTGCTTGACTCTCATAAACTGCCCCACTCACTGAACTTTGGTAAATCACTACAAGTATATAAGTAACGAGAGCTTCACTGTAAACTATTTGTTTATTAGATGGCTGTGGATCGTGTAGTCGATGTGTGTGCCCTTTGTGATACCTGAGTGCTATCACACTAAATGGACTGTCAGTTCTACACAGTAATTCTTGTGGGACTATGCTTCTAATGGTGATGGCTTCTAAGGCTTTGCTTCCTTGCCTTGTTTCTTAAAGAAATGCCTTAAAAACATGGATCAGCTTCCTGACACTAAAGCATATGTTTTGTGAGAATTTTCTATGCACTAATATACAAAAACCTGTGCTTTATGCTGTTCTTCTTCTTAAAATTTCTAGGGCACATGAAAATTTCTTCAGAGGCGTATTTGTATCAGTTTACACATGAAACTTACCTTTCATGTATTCTAGAATTTTGACAATGTTCTTCAATATTGTGTTCTTTCCATTTGTATCCTAAAACATATTACCAGAAAATATATCATATATTTGAAATTATATAAAAGTTAAGTTACTGTTATCAGTGAACCTTAAGACATGCGAGAAATATTTACTACATTCTCCACTTTCACAATCGAAACTACAGAAGAGAACAAAAACTTTTCCTCATATTTTAATAACTGACAGAAAATTCACAGTCTTACCTATAGCAGTGAGGTGTCTGCAGGTCTCCAGAAGAACATCTATGTAGAGCCTCTTCTGAGAAAGATCCAACAAGACCCACTCTTCCTGAGTGAAGTGTATGTGCACATCATCATAGGTCACTGCATCCTAAAACATCCCACACATGTACAACACTGTAATTGTACACTTCTTTACCAATATACTCATCTAATTATGGTGCTTTCCACACTCAATCTATGACACAGACATTCTAATGTAATCACCACGTCATTTTAGAAGGAAACTGAAGAGAAGCTTCACCCCTGTCATTTCTGGGCCCTTGCAAGAGAAAATGCCTATTAACAGACATGTAGACATAGACAGACAGACAGATAAATAATACTGAGTACATTTGAGAGAAACTGTATGAATGATTAATACGTACAAAAAACAATGGGCAAGCAGGTCCCTTGTCTCATGCTTTTAGCCCTAGTACTCAGAAAGCAGAGGCAGATGGATCTCATTGAATGGAAGGCTAGCCTGGTCTATAGAACGAGACCCAAGACAGATGTAGGTACATGTTCAGAATCTGTCCCTGGCAAAAAATAAAAATAAAAATAAATAAAAAATGTATAAACAAACAAGACAGACAAAAACTCTGAAGGTTTCATTATTCATCTCACACAACTCAAACTTTGAGATTACTAAGATCTTACTGAAGGAGAATACATGCTTACACAGGTAGAGATGGGATGAGGAAAATTTAAGCACTGTCTACTTAGATTATGAATTTAAAAAACAAAAAACTGAGCAGGATAGCTGCCTCAGGGGCTAGGAGCACTTGCTGGTCTTATAAGGGAAATCAGGTCAATTGTCAGTATTTCCATTGGGCTCACAGCTATCAATACTCCAAGTTCAGAGGTTCTGAGGCCATCTTCTGAGCACCAGACACACAACATGCTGTGTTTACCCATACATACAAGCCAAGCATTCATATTCAGTAAGACGACCAAAACACATAAAAGGTAAGAAAAATATCATGCACCTTCAATCCAATGACTTAGGAGGCTCAGACAATATTAATACCATGAATATATATCTCTCTATGAGAGAATATACTCTCTGCCCAAGTTCAAAATTTAAGAGGTAGGAGAAGCTCAACACAATAGTATATGCTTGACACCTACAAAAACCTCCACTCCAGGGCTATCAGCCAATAATACAAAAACAGAAAAGCCAGTTATAGCAGCAGGAGGAGGGGCGATGGGATAGGGGGTTCCTGGGCGATGGGGGGTGGGGTGGGGTAAGGGGATTACATCTGAAATGTAAATAAAATATCCAATAAAAAATGTAATTTAAAAAAATGTTAAGAAAGAAAGAAAGAAAGAAAGAAAGAAAGAAAGAAAGAAAGAAAGAAAGAAAGACCAGTTATATTGGATGGACCTCACCTTTAATCCCAGCACGTGGGAGGCAGAATCAGACAGCTCAAGATGAACTGAGTCTCAAGAGCTAATGTCAGGACAGCCAAAGCAACACGGAGAAAACTTGTCTTCAAAAACTAAACCGAAAATAATAAAATTATATATATCAGGCTAGCAAATGGCTTATCAATGAAAAGCCAATGCTTCTTCTGTATCTTATGTCATTTAGCAATACAGTGCATGATCATGGCACCATGTGGTGAAAGCTGGCTGATCAGGTTCAACCACAATACAGTAGGCATAATGATCATATGGGAAGGCTATAGACGTTCTAATCTCAACCCCAATGGGAACTTCCTCCAGCAAGGGTCTGCCTACTAAACACTCCACATGCACTCCAAAGAAGGCAACCAATGAGAGACAAGTGTTCAAATCCGTAATTCTATCTGGGAGGTTTTTCATTCAATCTACCACTGACCCAGATCATTATGTGCTTTTGATCATCACACATACACATGTGTTTAACTTAATGATCCTGATAAGAACCCCAATACTGACCAAATGTTCAGTCCCTGCTGACAAGAAAGAGAGAGAGAGAGAGACAGAGAGAGAGAGAGAGAGAGAGAGAGAGAGAGAGAGGAAGGAGGAGAAGGAGGAGGAGGAGGAGGAGGAGGAGGAGGAGGAGGAGGAGGAGGGAGGGAGGGAGAGAGAGAGAGAAATTTCTTGACTATGACATCTTCTAAAATTAGGAAATCAGATATATATTTTGAAAATACAACCACACATTACACATTCCCATTTGAAGACAGAAGAAAGATTTGAGAACGGCAAGACTGACACCCTGCAAGGCAAACCCCAAATCCTCGAGGTCTGCCTCAGACACATGGGGCTAAAGTTTTAAAAGTCTTACATGGCTCTATCCCTGCAACTTCTCATCTCTGTCTCTGTCTCTGTCTGTGCCTGCCCCCCTCCCCCCCTTGCTTCTCCACTCACTATGTCAGCTCTCCATGTCAGATGTCTTATAGCTTAGCTATCTCAACATCTTGTGGTGTCAAGATGCAAATCAGGCTTCATATTCCCAGCTTCATGCAATGAGCTTACACTCTTCTCATTGAGGCTGTGACTCTGCCAAACACAGGTGAGTGCAACAGGGCTGAACTGAAACCACGGAGGAGAATCCATGACCTTTAAAATTTGCAACTTTTGGGGGCTGGAGAGATGGCTCAGTGGTTAAGAGCACTGACTGCTCTTCCAGAGGTCCTGAGTTCAATTCCCAGCAACCACATGGTGGCTCACAACGATCTGTAATGGGGTCCGATGCCCTCTTCTGGTGTGTCTGAAGACAGTAGCACTGTACTTATACATTAAGTGAAAAAGTTGCAACTTTCTTGTTTTCAGAACCTGGACAACAGAGGTGATCTTGTCAAGTTTGGCTTCCAGGCTCTCATGGACCCTGCCACACTTGGACCACAGTTGTAGCAGGTTCCGAATGAAGCTGCTTCCTGGGACTCGGAATCGCTTTGCCTGTTCCTTCCATAAAGTAAAGGCTTAGCTGAATGAAGTCTTGCCGTTAGGACACCTTCCTAAGCTTCCAATGCAAAGCAATGATGCTATTTTCCTTGAATATCCCCGCCTTTGTTTTAGCATTTGAATGCTATCTGAAACTACCTAGTGCTGTTTCTCTCTACAAACCACAGACTTGTTACATCTTTACACCCCACCTGTGTTCCTTTTCCCTGAAAGGCTGCATGAGTCATCAGTAATAACTATGCACCAGAATCAATATTTTATCTAAGAAATCACTTTTTAAAAAAAATTCCATCATACTCATTCGCACAGGGCATGGGCACAACAGGAAAGAGTTTGAAAGCAAATATCACACAAAAGCTTCATTTTTCATGGACCCTATTTGCCACTGAAATCCTATGATCTCAACCTCCACTGTCCGCAGTACTCTCAACACTCCCATTTTCTAGGTCTTACCAGGATAACGGATTAACCTCTGCACACATTTTCTGATGGCGTTTGCCATCTAAAGTACTGGTATCTTCCACACTCCTCCAAAACACAACATTCTTATGTACTTCGCAGCAACAAAATCACTTCTGGGGTAGGAGTTTTGTTCTAACTTGCTTGTCTGTTGCTGTGATTAAATCATCTACCCAAAAGCAATTCAGGTAATGAATAGATTTATTTGGATGATACTGCCAGATCACAATCCATCATTGTGGAATCTTAGGATATAAATTCGAGGTAAAAACTTGAGGCAAAACCCAGGAGGGAAACGCTGTTTCCTGGTCATCTCTATTGCCTGCTCACTGTCGCATGCTTACCTAGCAGTCTTATCCAGCCCAGCCACAGTTGCTTAGGGATATTGACACCTGTTGAGAGCTTTTGGTGCCGATTCTAGAAATTTGGCATTTGTCTCTGGGCTCAGACAAGGAAGTGGGCTCAGATAAGAGTATTAGAAACAGTGACCATGGGGCTTTGCTGAGTTACTACCTTATGTGATCTCTTGCTTACCACTTTACTTAACTACAACCTTGTGTGGTCCTTTTGCTCACTACTCTGCTTTATTACTATCTTGTGTGATCTCCTTGGTTACGGCTTCGCTTGATTACTTTGTCTTTGATCTAAGAACTGACCATGGTTTTTGGATGTACCTAGAATGATATAAAAGCAGGCTGGACAGAATAAAGCTGCTTCAGCCTCAGGACGGGCTGGAGTCATGTTATAGTTTTGTCTAATTGTTTTTCTTCTTTTTGAATGCTCATTCTTCCCTTGAGCCCCTGTTGACTGACTGACCTGGCTTGTCAGACACCCTAAGTGGAAGACCTTTCCCATATCAGTTATTAATCAACAAACTGTCTCAAAGACACAGCAACCAGCCATTGTCGTCTGGACATGCCCTCAACCGATATTTCCTGAGATGACTCTACATTGTGTCTTATTCACAGTTGAAGTTAACCAGGACACAGAAACAATTATATATATATATATTTTTTAAAAAATTAGAAAAAAAACTTTAAAAAATCTAAGACCAACATGTTAACCATATCACTTAAATATTTGCTAAAATAAATATTTAATAAATTTCATCAGCAGGTTTCACTACCCGCCTCAGTGGTTTGTGTCCCTGAATGAAAGACACACACACACACACACACACACAGCCTTTATATTTTAATATGTCTTAGGCAGCACAATAGCTGGACACCACTGCCTAATCTCCACTACCTCCGGCTGATAATCTAGAGAGCTGTCCATCTGGGCTGCACTCTCCCAGCTCCTTCACATGACGGCTATGTCTCTCTGTCCTGCACTGTTTGCGAGCATGGCATTTCTCCTCTCCTCCACACTCTTCCAGCATGGAGGCTCTCTGTTCTCCTTCCTCCTCCTCCTCCAGGTGCCACGACTAAGAATCCTAAACCTGCCTATGTCTCTTCTCCCCAGCTATTGGCTATTAGTGTTTTTATTTACCAATCAGAATTAACTGAGGGCTAGGTTCCTCAGTGTCTTACATGCGGACTCTCTTGTGCAAACAATTTGGGGGACCAAAATTAACATAAGAATACAAGCAGCATTAACCCAAACCAACTACAATTATTAAACACCTAAGCAATAACAACTGAAAAACACAGATATGTTTAAAAAGAAATGCACCCTCAAAGATCAAAAATGAAAACCGTTTCTCCACAGAAAATCCCCAAACAGAAACTCAAGGAACTCATAACATAAAATAGTAAA